TAAAAAAAAAAAAAAAAAAAAAAAAAAAAAATGAAGGCAACTTTTACACATTCAGTTTAAGTATTGTCCCCTACCTTAATGGGGCTAGAATGCAAGGCTCACACATGCTAGGCAAACACTCTACCGCTAAGCTACAGACCCAGCCCTTACATACTGGTGTTGCTCTGCTATGAGACTGGGCAATCACTAATTCTCTGGGACTCCATTCAATAGGAAGGCTGGTCTTCCTTTGACCCATTATCTGTATGGCCAGAGCTAACAGATTTCAGTCTGCTCAACAAAGAAATGCTAGAGGGCCTGGCATGATGGTTCATGCCTGTAATCCCAGCACTTGGAGGCAGGAGGATCACTTCGAGTTTGAGGCTAGCCTGAGCTATATAGTGAGTTTGGGGCCAGCCTGAACTACAAATCAAGACCTTGTCTCAGAAAACCAAAAACCAAACCAAACCAAAATAAAACAAAACAACAAAGAAATGCTGGAGAAATCTGGCTTATTGATGTGAGTCAATGTATCTCGGAATCTCCAGCAGAAAGGGAGACAGTCATAGCCAAAAGTCAGGGAAACACTGCATCCTAACCTCCTAGCCTCATTTCCTCTCCTTGCTCCCTGCTCCTCCCCAGAAGTGAAAACCCTGGCATTTTTAAAGCAGGCTGTTAAGGCATAGTCTAAAAATAATCACTAAGTGCACATGAGATAAATCAGAACAAGAAGGTGAGGAAAAGAGGTTGAGATGGGGTTTGGAAAAGTGGTTCCCAAATCTTGTCTCAAGATCATGCCCACAACTATCAGGAACATGTGTTTTTGTTCAGTCCTAAATTCCATAGCTAATAAGCCAAAAAAAACCAATAACAACAAAAAAAAAACAAATAATTTTATTTTCTGATGAAAAAACAAAATAGCTTTATCTCACAGGATGCAAATAAAAAGAGAACTTATAGCCTTCTGCTCTCCCACATTTTACCCTGCCATACCAGACTAGTAAAAAAGAAAGAGTTTGGTTTTATTTTTTTGAGATGAGGTCTGCTATGTAGCCCAGTATGGTCTGAACTCCTGGGACTCCTCCTGCCTCAGCCTCCAGAGTGCTAAGATTATAAGCATGGGCTGCCATACCTGGCCAGAGGAGTGAGTTTTAAGGGACCTAGATCTACATCTTCAGACAGACCTATAACCAAGGAATAAGGTACTAGATATCAGGGTACTTACTTCCTGAGGATGATGACTGCTCGGCGCTCTTTGATGTCCTGAGGCCGTATGCAGTGAGTGATTTCGTCAGCAGCATATCCACTGGAAAGAAACACAGCACATTATCACCATGAAGACTGGACAACCAAAGTTCTTAGGGGACAAGTAATGGGCCAGGTCTTATGGTTGTCCTCTGTTATGCACATGGTTCAAGAATCTTAATGGAAGGAAAATACCATGTTAAACTCTAGGAAGCTTCTGCCCACAAACCACTCAAAGAAAACTGACACAATACAAAGGAGACTCGGTGGTCTCGTAAGGCAGAGGCCAAAGCAGGACTCACTCTGCATCTCTGCATAGTCCAGGAATCCTTCTTTTAAAGAATCCTTAGGGGGCCAGTGATTTGGCTCAAGTGGTTCTGCCGCCTGCCTCGCAAGCGTAAGGGCCTGACTTTGATCCCCAGTCCAAAAAAAAAGAATCCTTAGGGCTAAGTTTAGAGTCCAGCAGAGGACTTACCTCACACATACTGTATAACATCCTGGGTTAAATCCTCAGTACAGCAATAAACAAATAGTGAGCCCTCAAGAGGGTGCAGTGTTAGAGGATCTGGAGGCAACTCCAGGGACTTGGAGGAAACCTTGGTGAGACAGACACTTCCTCCATTCCTCCCCATCCTTCAGCACACAGAGGAAACCAAAGCAGCCAATGAAAGTACCAAGTCAGCAGGGAAAACTAGAGGCTGGAGATGAAGCTCAGTGGTACCACGCCTGCCTGGTAAGCGCAAGGTCCTGAGTTCAGTTCCCTGTGTGTGTGTGTGTGTGTGTGTGTGTGTGTGTGTGTGTGTCTGTGGTTTATCTACTTGGATAGAGGCAAAAGCCTCCTCTAGGGAGGTCCAAAATTCTGAAGACAGCTGTGTTTTGAACACTTTAAGAATTTCTATTACACTCAAATTTTTATTTTCAACAAGTGACATGGCTTTAAAAACTTCTCACAGGCCAATGAATGTGAGTAAATGATTGTCCTCTTCTTAGCTAGTGCCTTTCTAATTTGCAACTACGGAAACAAGTCCTGAGCCCCTCACATACTCTACTCTCCCTGGGAGCATGGCACCCAAGAGACATCTCCACCCCAAGTTCCTTCACTGAGTCAGCAGATTTATACAGCCAGAAATTCACCCAGCTACAGGCCAGAAGAGCCTACTTTCTCAGCTTCCCCATTTGCTCGGGATTCCTGGCTGCCCCTGGGCCACAAACCTTTCTCTTCTGACTCCTGATTAGCTCCTTTTCAAGGGTAGCTCTACAGACACATACTTAAGTATCAGAAACACCACAGGTCTGGCTGGGAAAAACTCCTTCAAAGTGGCTAGACTGGCTCATTTGTGGGCAAGAACTGGATACAAGAGCCAGTGAGAAATAAAAAGCCAAGCTGCCACCTATACTCCCAGCTACTTGGGAAGTTGAAGCAGGGAAATCAAAAGATCCAGGCTCACAAAATTTTATTTTATTTATTTGGTTTTTTTGGTGCCAGGGATTAAACTCAGGTCCTTGCATTTGCAAGGCAGGCAGCAGAACCACTGAGCTAAATCTCCGGCCCAAGGCTCACAAAATTTTAAAAGGGCTGGAGATACAATTTAGTGGTGGAGTGCTTGCCTAGCATGTGTGATGTCATGTTCAGTCCCCAGTACAAGAGAGATATAGGGGAGTGGGGGTGGCAGGGTAGTGAAGTGGGTTACAACAAGGGAGGAAAATAGAGTCAGATGTGATAATATACATCTTGTAATCTCAGCACTTGGGATGCTGAGGCAGGAGGATCAAGAGTTCAAGGCCAGCCTGGACTACAGACCAACTTCAAGCATGACTGGACTATTAGCAAGACACTGTCTCCAGGGCTGGGGATTTACCTCAATGGCCCCACACCTGCCTCACAAGCGCAGGGTCCTGAGTTCAATCCCTAGTACCAGGGGGGGAAAAAAAAAGACACTCTCTCCAAAAAACCCAAACCCAAACCAAGCACAAAGCTCAAAACCAAAACAAAGAAAAAAAGAATCAGGATCCGCCCCTAGAAGGAAACACTTTTGACTTGGAAATCTGACTTGAAGCCATGCTAGTGATAGAACAAATCTTTATTTTATAGATTTCCTCTGCCCCTAGCTGCTCCTAGGTCAGGATTCTTCAGAGTTTTCTCTTCAAACACCAGCCCCATATCCACAGTCAAATCAATTTAGAGAATACTGATTGAAGAGTTTCAAAAAAGCATCACTGTAGATCTGAGAATGTTAAAGGAGCTAAGAATTGCTATAGCAAAAGAACCTGCTAACTTGCTGGGCGTAGTGGTGCATGTCTGGAATCCCAGTACTCAGGAGGCTGAGGCAGGAGGATCGCTGTGAGTTCAAGACCAGCTTGGGCTACATAGTGAGTTCTAGGTCAGTCTGAACTACACAGTGAGACCCTGTCTCAAAAAAAAAACAAAAACAAAACAACAACAAAAAACTTATCAAAGAACTCTGTCAAATAACACCTATTAATATTTATGTTGGAGGTCAGGGATTTAGCTCAGTGGCACCGCGCCTGCCTTGCTAGCTCAAGGTCCTGAGTACAAGCCCTGGTATCAAAAAGGGGGGTGTGTGCTGGGGATTTGGCTCACTGGTTCCACCAGCTGCCTCACAAGTACAAGGGCCCGAGTTCAATCCCCGGAACCAAACCCCACCCCAAAAGAAAATTTATGTCAACTCACAATGAGAAGTATTACATAGGAATTAGGAAGTTGAAGAGACTTGTGTTCATACCAAATCTTTGTCACCTACTTTTGCAACCTTAGATATGTCACATGCTAAAGCTTATCCTCAGTTTACCTGTAGTAAGCAGAACAGTAGGTACTTGGGTGTTCATTTTGTTATTATGCTCTATACCTTTGGATTCATTTATTACCAGGATTTTAAAAAGTTCCCTTCCAAGTAGAATCACATAATCAGAGTTATAGGACTATGGTTAAACAATCCTGGAAAAGTACAGTGAGAGGCCTATTTACTAGGTTGTTTTGGATAGTGCAGTGTGCCTGGTGCCACACTACCACTACACAGACAGAGGGTCCCAGACCATCCCAGGGCAAGCCAGTACCTTATATTCAGCACCTGCCAAGGAGACATGATCTAAAACCTCCTGCAGGGATTTCCCAATAGTAGAGGCCTCCAGAACCCCTTTTTTTAGGACTAAAATCTCCAAGTCTCAATCCACATTCTTACATTCCATACTGCTGAAAGAAGGCCTGGGTTGCAAGACAGTCCCATGAATTGTATACTCAGAGGGCTTCCCAAAAGAGCTAAGTTCAAAGGCACATTTCTAAAGCCTGAATCTGCAGTGCCAGCGACAGGCAATGTTCTCCCATGTTAGCAAGTTAACAAACAGTTTTACTTGGCAAAAGCCATGACCAAGGGCCATGAATTCGCATTTCCAACAAGGAACCACTTCTCTTTATGTAGTTCTGGAGCAAATCCAGATGTTTGTCAAAGTATGACTGCCCCCAAGCCCTAAATGGCTCTAGAACAAACAATAAGCCACACCAGGCACCTGCCCTGTGCTCAGCAGAACTACTGTAGCAGTAGGGATGCACAGGCCCATAGAAATAACCTTGGCACTAATTCTACCTGAAGGGCTCATTATCTTCCAGAACCTCCTAAGGTCTGGGAATTTAGTTCAGTGGCACCGCACCTGCCTCACAAACCAAGGTCTTGAGTTTGATCCCTGGAACCGAGCAAAACATCATCAACAACAACAACAAAAACAGAACTTCCTAGCAGCCCAATGAGTGTATTAGGCTCCTCCAGAAGTGGGAACTCAAAATTCTGATCAACAGAAGCCCTCTTGGCCAAATTTCAGCAGAAAGTGCCCAGCACTGATTCACAGATTGTTATTTACTGCTAAGGAACTCAGCTACTACAAGAAACTGAAAGTCCTAGTATGCCAGCTTGAAACTTAATATACCCTGGGTCCAGCCCTACCCCCGGCATGAAGAAAGTTCCAGCATGTCCTGCTCTTTTGTTTTCACAGGGAAATGAGAGGAGGAAAATACTTCATGCAGTCCAGTCTGCCTGCTCCCTGGCTGAGCTGTACCCTCAGCAGCACCCATTAGAATGAAGAGAAGCAGAGCCTAGTTTTTCACCCACTATTCCCATACCTCAGAGTGACTCTTCAGGGTGTTGACACATCTATCTCCTTTTCTGGGAAGCTTTCTCAGGGTCCCCCAGACTGAATTTCTCCTACAATTTTCAATGATAACCTCCCAGGGAGTCTTTACTATTACATTTGACCCGTGGAAATTGCGTCTTCCCTATAAAACAAAGCAAAGGTCTTAAATCTGCACAGTGAACAAAAAATAAAATGTACATTACAACTGAAATAGTCTACTTTGGAGCCACAGTTTCTACATGTGCAAAAAGATATCAGCCAAGCTCTTCCTCAGAGAATCACAGGCTGAAAAAAGATTGTATAAGGGACAGTGTAAGGTTATATATCTGGAGATGGTCTTGGAGATTAAGTTGTTAAGGTACATTTCCAAGATGTTCACCATTTCTTATCTACTCTATGTCCTTAGTCCAAAACAGCACCAACAGAGGGCCCAGCCAAAATCACCACCTGGTAAGAGCCTCTCTCACTATAGGACTGAGAAGCTTACGCATTTGGGAGGCAGCGAGCAGACCATGTAGACACAGGGACAGGTCTGAGCTCAGGCTCAAGTTATTTACCAAGCCCAATCTCCAAGAAAACACACAGCTTAACTTTATGAGAAGTTCTGGGGCTTTCTAAATGCAGAAGGTCAACCTGCAGCATCCTTATTGTGCAAACATCAAAGTACAAACGATCTGAACACAAAAGGAAGTTCAGCTTCTGAGACATTTAGCTAAACTTCAAGCATTTAGTAGTGTGACAGATTCAATCTTCTGTAATGACTATAGCATCACTGACCTAATTTTGCAGAAGAAAACAGGCCCATAAAATAACTTGTCCAGAGTCAAATAGTTGAAGTGGAACTGCCACCAAGTTTGTCATTAAACTTTTAGATTTGTGGTAGTGATGATGGTGTTATGTGTTGGGTGGGGATGGAGATGGGATGAAGGGATAGAAGGATGGGTAATGAAATGAAAAAGGAAAATCCATCTGTGTTTCTTGGTAGCAAGATCTAACCTGTCCTGGAAGATTCAATGGCCTCACCAACACCTATATAGACACACCTATAACCACCAGCCCTACAGAAGAGGTCAACAGAAATAAACTTACGCTCTGAGAGCATATACTGTCATCTCAGTAATGACTATACACCAACTGTCCACCCTAAAATGGCCAGCCAGCCAACCTTTAATTTGTATGACCTACTTATTTGTTGCTTACTATTCCTGATTAAGGCTATCGCTTTTTCTCCTCTCCTGCCTTCTGCCTTCTCTCCTGGCATCAAGGTCAGCTATTCTGATGACCAAGAGCCCCACCTGAAAGTACATAGCCCTGACTTTAACCCATGGTTCCTCCCCCTCCCACGCAAACAGAAGATTCTACACAAGAGATGTGGCCCAGGACCTATCTGCCCTACTTTCCCACCTATTTTAAACAAGAAAGCTAAATTTTGCTTTCAACCAGCTGAACAAGATCAGCCCTTAACCCAAAACTGACAGGGGCCCACTCCATCCAAAACCAACTGTTCACTGGAAGAGTCAAAGGCTGAGCTCACCATTATGGATCCCACAGCTGATTCAGTCATTTCCTGACAGATGGTTGAGGCCTAGGTCTCTGGGTAGGTGGCTACTACAGACCATGCAGCAGTGATTAAAGAGGTAGCAGCAAGTAAGTAATTAGCTTGAAGTAATTATTCTAATTAATCCAATTAAAGTTTTTGTTTTCTTTTTTGATGTAGGGTCTTGCCAAGTAGCCCAGGCTAACCTTGAACCTTGTGGTAATCATCCTGCTTCAGCCTCCTGAGTAATGGGATTATAGCCATACACCACCACACCTACCTTGAAATTTGTTTTAATATGTTCCACTCACCCAACAGGGACAGGAGGTATGTAGAATGAAAGGGAGGTAAAAGATATTTCTCTAAAGAACAGCGTAAAAAGGCCCACTCAGGCTCAAGATGAAGGTCACAAAAAACTAACAGCTGGATTTGAAAAGGAGTGTAAAACACTTTCAGAAAGGTCTGTGAACCTTGTAAAACTTCAAACACTGTTAAATAGGTTTAGGTACTGCTATGTCAATGTTTGCCACACATCAACATCACAATGACCACTATTAAAATATAAAGTTATACTCCTGCCATGTTGCCTTGGACAATTATAGACACTATTTACCACCAACAACTGAAGTCTCAATCAGATGGCAACTGCTAGAGTCCAGCACTGGCCTGTATCAGTCCTCCCTTCTAATCCGAAGCTTTACTACTTATCACCTTTGAGCTGGGATCTCTACCAGGAAGTGAGAAAAAGCACCACCTCTCTTACCAGCTTACATTCAGGATTTGAGGAGGGGCACTAACAGGCAGATATTCATCCACCTGCATACCAAATAAGCTGAGTTAGCAGGTGCTAGAAGATTTAAATTAGCAGGCATGTCCCCAGACCCTATACCAGTGGCTCTCAACTGGGAATGACTGCCCTTTCAAATCTTGCCCCCAGGGATATCTGGCAAATGTCTATAGACATTTTTAGTTATCATAAAAAAGTGCTGTTAGAATTCAGCAGACAGAGGCCTGGGATGCTAAATTTTCTACAATGAATAAATAGCTAAAACAACAAAGAATTACCAAGGCCTTATATCAAATCAACAGCAACACTGTTGAAAAGGGCTGAACCAGAGCTTCTGGTCTAATAATGAACTCCATCTGCCTCCAAGCAGCACAGACTCCTTTCCTTTACCTATAGCTATGCTACTTGCTGCCGAAAACCTGTTGTATTCTCCTCCCCTCTCCTTTGCTTGGCTAATTCCTAGTTACCCTTCAAGCTCTAGCTTACTTCCTTCGCAAAACTTCTGATACTCCAGAGTGGATCAGACGTCCCTTCAGGGCCAAGGATTTAGCTCAGTGGTGCCACCGTCTGCCTCACAAGCGCAAAGTCCCAAGTTTGATCCCCACTGCAAAAAAAAAAAAAAGTCCCTTCAGAATGTTCCTGCAATTACTTCCTGGGCTGTGACTATCCACTGGGCCTGAGCTCTCAAACAGGTTTGAACTACAAACCTGTGTTTCAGGATCCACGAAATCTCTAGCCCCTTCCCCATCAAGACAGCAGGGACTCATTAAATGGTTGTATATAAGTATCCATTTAACTACACCGTGCCAGGCTCTATGTTAAGACACCAAATAGCCTGCCTCGCAAGCCACAAGGTCCTGAGTTCAATACCCAGTACCAAAAAAAAGAGACACCAAATCATTTTAATTCTAATAGGCTTTAGAAGTTAGCATCATCTGCATTCTACGCATAAGAAAGCAAGCTCTGTGAACTCCCACAAGATCCAAAGCAAATGAGAGGAGAGCTTGATTCAAAGCCTGGGGCAGCACTTTTCAGGACATGGCTGGGCCTCCTACACTAATTTTGCAGCCAAGTCTGAGTCCAAGAAGGGATGCAAGGAACTAGGAAAGCTTTAATACTTTACAATTTAAGGAAAAGATGAGGCGAATTTTCCTGATGATGCAATCCTGTTGCTGATCACTAACAGACTTGCATATTAAGAATTTGAAACTTCTGCGCTTCACTCCAGAGCTGTGCATGTGTTGGGGAAAGGAGTTTCAAAAGTCACAAAATGCCTTGAGATCTCCCACTAAGCACCAGATCACTGTAAGACCTCTTGAAAACAAACCTAAGGGCCTATGACTACACAGAAAATTAGTATTTCATTAAGAGACCAAGAGCCGGGGATTTAGCTCAATGGTGCCACTCCTGCTTCACAAGTGCAAGGTCCTGAGTTTCATTCCCAGTACCGCCAAAAAAAAAAAAAAAAATAGTTGCATTGTAAAGTCCTTTTAGTACTAAAAGCCTGTGAACAGAAAATCAAGACTCTCAACGTGCCTTACATAGCAAGCTTACTGGGAGGATCTGCCTAGGTAATCCTATATTAAAAGGTTCTACCAAAACATCCATCTGAAAACATACAGATGAGACACTTAAGGGTCCAAATGACAAGTAGGCATCATCTGACAGTCTTTTAGGAGCCAAAGTACTGCTTTGGCCAGTGACTTCTTAGACTATCCCATCAGAAGGCCCTGAACATCTCAAAGGTCTAGTGTGATCTGTAATCTGGAAGCAGCCACAGCTGTTCAACTCAAATGAAACAGATGACCTCCTCTCATGGTATCAAGAGGGCTCCTAGGACCTTGCTTCTCTTAACTGTAATGTATGGCACCAACCACACTGCAGAGGTTCAAATACTCACAACAAATCCTAGTGTGTCCAGATCCTGTACTTCGTGGTAGTCAACCACACTCACTGCTCTAAACAACTGTAGCTCAGACCTCCTAAGAGGTTTTGGGGCTTACTGAAGTACACTACTACCTTTACCTATTTCAGTGGTGGAGAGGGGTAGCTTCCAAATGTAAATTTTCACTTTATACAAACAAGTGTTCCAGCAGACAATCTTCCCTGGGGTCCAAGGCACTGAGCTAATTCTCAGTAGGATCTGAAGCCCCAAATAGGCTAAGAGCCTAAGATCTGGTGCTCACAGAACTACAAAGCCAAGGTCAAGAAACCAGCTGTAGTATTTTGGTTTTTTTTTATATACTACTTCTTTTCTTCTTCGTTTTCTGGTACTGGGGATCGAACTTGGGTCCTGGCAGTCACAAGGCAGGCGGCAGAACCAATGAGCTAAATCCCCAGCCCTGCAGCATTTTGTTTTATTCCATCTCAGTAAGAGGTAACATGTCTTACAAAGGACAGTTGGGCCTGTCTGTAACTAAGAGAAGAAAATTTTAAGAGTGTGCTTCATTTTCTTCTTGGCCCAACCATTAAACTGCTTGGAAGTCATTTCCCCTCCTAGAAGTACAGAACCTATATCAATTAAATATTCTCAAGGGCCTCTACCTGTACTTCTCTGCTAAGAAATCCGCAAACATTTTGTTAAAGAAATCAAGAACAGTACAGCAATAAACTTTTAGATAGTAAGTTCAATCCCCTTTTTTTTAAAGCACAGATTTTGAAATGGAGGCCCAAATCACAAATGAATTTGCTTAAAATCACAAAGGAAACGTAACATCTTAGACTTCTAGAGCTAGCCTTTTGGATCAATTCTTAGTTAAGCCTGTGATAATATCAAACCTGCCCTTCAGGTACAGAATTCCTTGTTTTCTTGTTATGTGTATTTTAAACACAGGCCCCTTCCCGTTCCCTAAAACCTACAGACTTGTCTTCACATACAGAACTCCACATCCTTATCCTGACTCGTTTTCTTGCTATATATACATTAAAAACAAGCCTCTTTTTCTGCCCCCTACAACCAAGAAACAGAAAGATGGGTCAGAACCAGAAAAGTACAGGTTCCTATTGGCTGCTGCCTCTTGGACCCCGGTGCATAGTTAAGGAAGCTGGGTGCAGGGCCGCCCCCTCCTCCCAGGTGGATTACCTGAGCACAGTCACACTCCCCCTGCGTACAGGCAAGGAAAGCACAGGTTCTGACACCCGGATAGGCTTGAACTGGAATTTGCAGCCGAAGCACAGAGCAGAATCGCTAAAGAAGGACACAGACACGATGGGGCGCTCGAATATGTGGATGGGGTCCACGTGAGACACGATGCAACCGCCTGGCTGGTAGTCGTTGATGACGGCGCTATTGACGAAGCCCTCGGGAATGACGCGGTGCTCTACCAGCTTCTGGATCACCAGCTGGTGCACCCACTCGGGGATCTCGTCCACGTCTCCCGGCGGGTAGAGGCGCTCCTGGCCAGGCCCGCGCTTCTGCAGCTGGGCACCATACGTGTAGCCCTCACCGAAGAAGTACTTGTTGCGCAGCGGGGCACGGTCCACCGTGTGCTCATTGTACAGGCCCTTCTCGGCACGGGACACCACCTCGTCAATGCGGGCCTCGATTTTGGCGCACTCGTCCTGGGTGAAGAGGCGTATCTGGCGGATGCCGCTCTTCACCTTACGCGCCTCCTCCTCCTTTTGAAGCTGTTGTTCCTCGTAATCGCTGCGCTCCGGGTCCGAGTCCTCCTGATACTTGCGCTTGGTCCCAGACACCGGGTAAGGTT